TGATCAGTTTCAGCAGCGGCTGACGCCAGTTCCGACTTACATACAGATTCAACTTAAGAACAAACCTACAGTCCCTATCTTGTACGTAACCTGGGAACTGCCTGTACGTGAAATAACAGAGCTTTTACTGTATTTGAAAAAGTAGAACATCCAAAAATATTTACTAAATTTAAATTGGTATTCTGTTGTTTAACAGTGTGATTAATCAATTTTTTAATCGTATTAGTTAACTGTGATTATTGCTATTAGGGCTGTTGAGGATTACTTATTTTTTTTGTAAGTCTGTTAATTCTTATAGTATTGGAACTTCGTTTTTCCTCTTTCTGTAGCAGTGAAAGTTTCACTCTGCTCCATAAGGTTTTATTCCTATATAGGAAACCTTTCTGTAAAGAGAGAAGCCCTGATCTTGCACTGAGCGCTGCACAGTTCTCTTATCTCTGCAGAACATCTTGCACGATTGAGGCTTAAAACGCTACTAGAAGGCTGGTTACATACAGCACACAAAGCTTGTCTATAGATGATTTCTAGGTAGAAACAGTTTCTCTTGTATCTTGATCTTATATTTTGAAAATCGGAGAGTGTGTGTCAGTCCTCTTATCTTGGTGTGACTGAACGTAGATCTAGATGCATGTATTTATTGCAGCTCCTTAATTCTGAAGCTTTGGAGTTAGAATTTTCTTAAAAGTGAAACTTATCACAAAAGAACGCAGTTCAATTTCTTCTTGCTGTAATGCACTAGAAAAAATGGAAGATTTTCACTCAGCTTCTGTCCAGTACCTGTTGTATGGTCATGCAATAAATGAGGTTCAGGAATAGCTGTGTTGCAATTTTGGTGAAAAATGATGGGGCACGGCCAGTTTGGGGAGGAGCTAGAACAATGGATAATTCTACATAAATAGCTGGATATGGGTAACTTCCTGGGACCTACATATTTGGGAGTAAAGGGTTTTACCTGGCACTGTCTCCACAGACTATTCCTAGTATTTGTGTAGCGTATGTAGAAGAGAAGTCCAACTTTATGGGATGCCATTATAAAACAGAAACCTCCAAATCTTAAGAGGCTTCTTTATTCCAGTGTGATGTATAAATAATATAAGAATTCTCTCCTCTCCCCCCTTCTAGCAAATGATAGGATCTTGGTCAAACATGAGGCGTGTCCTGAGGTGAGAGGTCCCGTGAACCAGGAACTGCCTGTGGCCTTATCAGGAAGATCAGAAGCATGCATTTTCCAGGGAACTAGCTGTGAAAATCAGCCCAACTCACACATGCAGCTCATCCCAAACACAGCCCCTACAGCAATCAGCCTAGGGGAATCCACTCAAGGAGAAACAGAATTTGGCCAGTTTCCAAACGTTGCTGCCCAACAGGGAAGCCAAATGGGGGAGAGACCATATTTGTGCAGTGAGTGTGGGAGGTGCTTCAGCCGGAAAGACATCTTCATGTCGCATCAGAGAACCCACACAGGTGAGAAACCCTACTCGTGTTCTGAGTGCGGGAAAAAGTTTGCCCAGCAATCCAATCTGAACAACCATTTCCGGCTCCACACAGGTGAGAGGCTTTATGTGTGTTCGCAATGTGGGAAAAGCTTCATCCACCAGTCCAGGCTTACTTACCACTACAGAGTCCACACAGGAGAGCGGCCTTACATGTGCACAGAGTGTGGGAAGGGCTTCACCGAGCAATCCAAACTAACAAACCACTATCGAATCCACACAGGTGAGAGGCCGCACACCTGTGCTGAGTGTGGGAAGAGCTTCAGTCTGAAGATAAGCCTTATAATTCACCAGAGAAACCACTCCAAGGAAAGGCCTTATGAATGCACTGAATGCAGCTTAAACTTCAATTGTCACTCGGGACTTATCAGGCACCAGATGATTCACACAGGGGAGCGCCCTTATAAATGCACGGACTGTGGGAAAGGTTTCATGCGGAAGGAGCATCTTCTGAACCACCAGCGCTTGCATACGGGGGAGAGGCCGTATCAATGTACAGTGTGTGGGAAGAGCTTCATTCGGAAGCATCATCTTTTGAAGCACCAGCGGATTCACACGGGAGAGCGGCCCTATCAGTGTGCTGAGTGTGGCAAGAGCTTTAGGTATAAACAGTCGCTCAAAGATCACTTGAGAATTCATAGCGCAGAGCAGGGGCAGCCGGAAATTTCCCAAGGCCTTTTGCAGGAAATAGAGACGGGGCTCCTTGATGTTAAAATAGAAAATACATGGTAGCATGATTGTAAATAGCAAGCTGCCTGATAAAAATACATCAGCTCCAGCAGATTGGAAGAGGATATTATCCCATTATAAAGTACAAAGGTAAGTAAAAGCAGCCGTTCAAACGTCCTTGTCGTTGAGGAACACACTCATGAACTTTTAAATCCACGAGCCCTTGAGAAGAAAGGATGCTCAGTGTACTCATGTGAACTCCAAAAGGGAAGGTAGAGCATGAACCTTGGCCCTACATTTGTCAGTCTCCTTGAGATGATTTTTACCTTAGTGTTGGTCTAACTCCTGTGTGAAGATCTTCCTGGTTAAAGCTTAGCTTGCTGCATATGTCAGTGTTATACAGAGACACATATGGTATAAAAGCTTCTTGAATGTTTCATTTGAGCAGTCAGTGCTTTTCTTTAGTTCTTGGGACTTTCTTTTAGAGAAAACCAACAGGAGCAAGAGGTTAGACATGACCCAGGTAAGAGTTTGGGTTTTTTAATAAAAACTATTCCCTTTAGGATCTTGCAGCCTCATCAACATGAACCATGTCTTGGAAAACTTGTGTGCAAAGTGGTCAAGTCTGAGAATTCAGTGGTTTACGATGCAGCAGAGTTGTTAATAACTATAGCTTTTATAAGATAGCCTAGTGTTGTTTGCATGCATGATATTACCAGTATTAAGCGTAAGACCACTATTTATAAACCAGGCATTTATTATTGTGTGATTTTGTTAAGTGTTGAGGTTTTTCACTCTCTTGCTCAAAAAAGACAAGTTTTTTTTCAGTTTTCTCAGTTTTTAAAAGTTGAATGACTGGAAATAAAAGTGAGATTTCTGTACATATGGAAACGGGAACATTGTATAAAAAGTATCAACTTTTGTTTTATATTTTCCCCCTCAGACATGCAACTGAAATAATGTAGTATTGTGGTCATTCCAGTAACACATCTCTATGCTGGAATATTTAGTGGTCCTACTGCCTGGAGAGGGCACGGTTTGTACATAGATTCCACAAAGAACTTTTTTTGGGGGCTGGGGGGACGACGACGACTGGTAAAAAATGTAATTCTTCTGAGGCACTTGGTTCTTCATTGTTTAAGCATTGATATATATATATAGGTGATAATGTGGGTGTCTGCTTCTGTTTTTAGTACATGACTTACTCCCATTTGCAAAGTATAAACTGATTTTTCTCTATTGCTAGCCTAGCACCAAATTAAGATAATTTAACTTCTTGAGACTGAGCAGCCTGCTACACCTGTAAAAGTGCCCTGCTGAGGACGCTAAGGCTGGACACCTGCAGGAAGTTGCAGGATTGGGACCTAAATATGACTATATATGCACCAGCACTCTGATTCAGATTACCCTGAAGCCAATGAGTTTTTTCCATTCACTTTGGTAGGCTTTATATCAGGCCGCTAGTGTGCTAAAATATAGAAAACTCAACACAAGGACCAAAAAAGACCCAGCAATTGAAGACATTTAGAATAAAATAGTTGAGGCTTGTTTGGGGGCTTTTGTTCTGTTTTTGCTTTGCTGCTGCTTTACGCTTCATACTTATCCTGCAGCCAAAGTCCTGAAAACCCCTCTGAAAATAAGTCTACTAAATATTTCACCATGCTTAGGATGCTTCAATCTCTGAATACAACCAACATTTGGGAGTGGGGGAGAAACTGACAACTTTTTTTTTCATTTACATTAATTGCAACTGGCTGATAAGTGTTAGCATCAGAGAAGAGTATGCCCTTATGACAAAGTGACTGCAATACGTTCAGGTGAAAAACATCTTTATAGAGTTTACAGTATATGCTGGATGCACGTCTTAGTTTCAAGAGGACATGGGGCTGAGGCTTAAGAGTTTTGTACACTTGCAATGTCCAGTCGTCTCAGGATTTGGACTATTATTGATAGTTTGAGTGCAAAGGAATTACTTTTGATTCACTCTGCCATTTCAGGCACTATATTTCCTCAGCAGTAACTATGCAACAGTCTTTCTAAATCTCAGCTCACATGAACATGTCCGTCCATTACCAATTATTGCTATTCTCAGTCGGTCTGCTCTAGAAAGTAGATGAGGATGCACAGAATACCATTCAGCAGCCTGTGGTGTAATCACCTCAGTGTCTTTGATATATAATCAATGTCATTGTGTTAATTTAAATAACTGAGAACACATCAATACAACCTTTTATGTAGTCTCTGCTTTTGTATAACCTGCCAGCACTTGAAGACTTTTAACAACTTTGGCATGAAAGCTTTTGTGTGTTAACTTTTATGGACCAATAAATGCTACTGCTTGATTTACCCTGTCTGCTGTTTTTAGCACACTGGAGTAGAGGTTAAAATGTAACACAGCAGGTTGTCTGAAATGAGCAATGGATAGACTTTTCTGCAGCCTTTTTTTTTTCTTGTGAGATCACCTCTCTTTTCCTGCCATTTCGAGTGCACTGCAGCTAGTCAAAGGAGTTCCCGTGAGTTAGTAAAGGGCAAGCTCTAAAATGGAAAAGAAAAAACATATTTACGTAGGCCAGGTCTATACTACGAGGGAACGTCAGCTTAAGATACGCAATTCCAGCTTCATAAATAACATAGTTGGAAATGACATACCTTAAGCTGAAATTTGACACCATTCCCACAGCGGGAAGGTCGATGGAAGAACCACTCCCATTGATTTCCCTTACTCCTTGCAACATAGAAGAGTACCACAGTTGACCGGAGTGTCCTCAGTGTTTGATTTAGTGGATCTTTACTAGACCTGCTAAATCGAATGCCAGAAGATTGACCACCAGCGTGTCTATCTTCCTTCAAGTCTAGAGGTGGCCTTACATTGGAAGCTCTTGGAAGGGCATGGATTTCTTTTGCTCTCTTGTTGTAATGCACCTAGTGCAATGTGGTCCTGGTCTGAGAGTGCAGCTCCTAAGTGCTATTGCCATACAATTAATCTTTCAAGCTTGCATAAAGCCTGTAGCTTTAACCAGTATTTAACCAAATTGGCACATTTTAAAACTTAATTCTAGTTGAACAAGCGTAAATACACTTTACCTCACTTCTGTGGAAAGAGGCCTTTTTATGTGAATTAGAAATGATTTTTGAAAAAAACTTTTTATACTTTCATAGGTTAAATTGGTTCAGCTAGACCAGTGGAAGATGTTAAGTCCGCCCTGAAAAGTGAAATTGTGACAATACTCTATCCTCTGTGTACCAAGAACCTTAGCTCCTGACTTCAGTAACAAAAACAAGGGTTTCCTCTGCTCACCTCTTTGAGTCTGCAGAGCCAGCAGTTTTAAGACAGAAATTGTCATTTCCTTCATGGGCATCATTGCCATCCTAATCTTCGACCTATGTAAACCCATTGAAAGCAGTGAGGTTTGAATGTGGGGATGTATCGGACTGAGCCTGGCTTGCCTCAGATCCTAGTCGGAGATAGCAGGGCGCTGAAAGCGAATTCAACTCCCCCCCGGTGCATCCTGCCCGTCCCCTCCCAGGGGCCTGGGGAAGCGTCACCTGTACAAGGCAGTCCCGCAGTACGCCGGAGCCAAAGGCTGCAGGTCCCCAGCCACATGCCCCAGGGCCGGGGCA